CATTGTGTGAGATGGACATTTTGGTTGTGTCATTTGGTTATTATGAGCTTCTTTTCCCCATATATTGTTAGGACATTCAATACTATTATTATGAAGAAATCAAAGTTTCTTTGAATATTGAGTACTGATTTGAAATCAGAATACATAACCGATTTTTAAAAAAAGTGAAAACAAGGCACTGAGAAAGATAACTCAGAATATACCTAAATGACAAAGCGTGAACCTCATAAGGAAGACTTTCATCCTTCTCCTCAGCATGATTTAAAGTGACTCATATCAGCCAAAACCTTTATGAGCGTAATGTGTCCATAAGGAACTCACAGTTATAAGCCAGGACCAAAATGGGCAGGAAGACCTATTGGGAGTGCCTGAAGGAGGCCTAGAAGCTGCTGGTACAGCCCCATGAGAGATTGCCAGTAAACATCAAGAGACCTACAGAATTAGTTGATGTTAATGTTGTCATTGTGTGTGTGTGTGTGTGTGTGGTGTGTACTGGGGTGTGAATCCAGGCTACTTCACCACTAAATTATATCGCTAGCCCTTTTTCTCTTTCTATTTCTTCTCCCTTTTTCCCTCTTCCCCTTTCCAAGACGGGATCTCAATAAATTTCTTGGACTGGTCTTAAACTTGTAATTTCCCCTGCCTCAACCTCCCAAATAACTGATTATAGGTGTGTATCCTGGCATCCCGCTTTTAGTGTTACTTCTCGAATCTTCACAATTCAGTTACCCTTTTAATGTTTTAATGGCATAGCTGGTGGAAATATCTTGGATCAAGGGGACAAATTTAGTACATCAAATAAACATCATGTTAAAGTTTCATATGTAATTGTATTAGGAAAAAATCAAATTATTTTGAGGTATTCTTAATTATTATGTTTGCCTTTTTGGGGTACTTTATCGAGCTTTTTCCTTCATCCTTTCTTTCTCAGGAAAGTTGATCATTATATGTATACAGTACAGTATAGTGTGTACTGTTTTCCAGAAAATACAGTAAAGTACTGAAAAATGTAAGTAATCAAAAGATCTTCCACTTATAAATTGAAGAACTAAGCCTTCTAAAAATCACTAAAGTTAATACTTTAAAAAATCTTAGTACAAAATTAGAGCACAAAATTTTAGTATAAAATAAAAAAGCATAATCTATTTCTAGTGACTGGAAGCTTTCTAAGACATTCAAAATACAGACCAAGCTATAGAACAAAATGTATACTGTATGATTTTTTAAAATTAAAAAAATTTTAACTATAATCATTACATTTATCATGGAAAGTTGAGAAGTAAATCTTAAAAAGTAAAAATAATTCAGTTGTAGTAAGAATATAAATGGAGGCAGGGGTATCAGTGTTAACGTTTTCGTCACTGAGGAAAGACATGAAAAAGCCAACTTGAAGGAGAAAATGTTTGTTTTTGCCTCACATTTTCAGGGGTTGCAGCCGAAAGTCACTTTGCTCCATCTGGGTCTGGGATGGCACAGAACATCTTTGTAGAGAGCATCTCCTTGCAGCTGGGGAGCTGAGAGAGAGAGGGAGGGAGGGAGGGAAGAAGGGGCTAGAGATCAAATAAAGCCTTCAGAGGGGTGCTCCAGTGACCTTACCTTGTCTAACTATGCCCTACTGCTAGAATTTCTGTCACCTTATATGTCACCTTATATGGAATTTCTGTCACCTTATATTATGGATTAATGTATTCATTCAGCACCTTTGTGACTTAATCCCCCCCCCTCCAGTCTCCACCTTTGAGCGTAGCTGCATTAGGATGAAGCCTTCAACATATGAGCCTGTGGGGGTCACTTAAGCGCTCAACAGTGACAGATTCAGATATATAGGAGATAGAAAGTTACTCCACTAAACTGATTGCACTGTTTCTTCTGGAGGGAGCATGGTTGAGGAAGAAATTTTTTAAAATCTGTGTTCGTTAGTTTTGGTTCCAGTGAAAATCTTCCTATTCTGCTGTTAGTCTCTCAAGATACTGTGATTTTCGGTCATTGTATTCACTTTGCTTATATCCTTTATGTTATTTTAAATGTTCCCAATACTTGTTTAAATCTTGCCTACCTACTCAATTTTGTTTTGTAAATCGTTACTAAAAGTATGTGTTTGTATCTACTGTGTTATACTTCACACATCATAGAGATTTGAACATTAAATGTATAGTCAGAAGTGTTTAGCATAGTCACAGAGTTGTGCAACTGTTACCACAAACCAATTTTAGAATATCTTCATTATGCCAAAAAGAATCCTGCAACTCATTAACAATAGTTTTTTATTTATTCTGTTACATTCCCTCCCTAGTCTGGGTCTCCATTAACTTTCTGTCTCTAGATTTGCCTGTTCTGGGCATTTCATATAAATGAAATCATACAATATGTGGTCTACTTTGGTTGGTTTTTCATTTAGTATAAATTTTTGATGATTTATCCATGTCATAATATGTATTGATACTTTAAAGTGACTGGATAATACTCCATTGTATGGATTTACTAGATTTTGTTTACCAGTTTAACAATTGATAATATATTTGAGTTGTTTCTATTTTGCTTTGCTGTGATGAATAATGCTGTGAATATTGTATATAGTATTTTATATGGCATCTATTTGTTTTTCTTGGGTGAATAACTAGGAATAAAATTTCTAGATCAAATAGTGACTCTATCTTAACATTTTGATGAACTGCTGAACCGTTTTCCACAGTTGCTGTTCATTTAACATTTCCACCAGGAATTCATGAGGGATCCAGTTTTTCTATATCCTAACACTTGTTACCCTATTTCTTTTTCTTTTTTTGGAGTGGATGTATGGGTAGAGATTAAATCCAAGGCCTTGTACAGGGCTAAATCTGCCATAACTGTAGCCCTTGTCTTTTATTGTAGATTATATCTATCCTAGTGAAAGTGAAAGCCTCGCATTGTATGATTTTGATGTGCATTTCCCTAATGATTAATGATTTTGAGCATGTTTTCATGTGCTTACTGGTTATTTGTGCCTCCTCTTTGGAGAAAGAACTATTTCTGTCCTTGCTGTTTTTAAAGTTGAGGTATGTGTCTTTTATTGTTGAGTTGTAAGACTCCTTTATATGTTCTGGATAAGTCACTTAACAGATGTAAGATTTATATTACTTTTTTTCCATTTTCTTGATGATATCATTTGTAATATTTGGACTATCATATTTTAAAAAGTCTTTGCTTTTTTTTTTTTTTATACCAGGGATTGAACTCATGACCTTGTGCTTGCCAGGCAGGCACTTATGCTTCTGAGCTAACTCCCCTTTAAAAAATCTTTTAAAAAATGGTTTAAATTTTCTTGAAGCCTATTTGTTCGTTTTCTTTCTTTCTGTCTGTCTGTCTTTCTTTCTTTCTTTCTTTCTTTGTCAATAATGCTTTTGGTTTTTTATCATAAACTTTTTTTTTTGAGACAGGGTCTTGCCCTGTATTTCAGACTGGTCTTGAGTTCACTATGTAGTCCAGGTTGGCCTGGAACTTACTGCTATTCTCCTGCATCAGTATCAGCCTCCCAAATGCTGGGATTACATGCATATGCCACTATAGCTAGCCTAAGAAATTCCTTACTTACTTCAATCCCATGAAGATTTTGCTTCTGTATTCTTTGGAGAGTTTTATAGTTTTAGCTCTTACATTTAGATTTGTGATTCATTTTGAGTATCCAGTTGTCCTAACACCATTTGTTGTTCTCTCATTGAATTATATGGATACCATTGTCAAAAATTAACTGATTATAATAAGGGTTCTAGATTCTTAGATCTACCTTAGTGATCTTGACTTGTTAAAATTACACTGGTGTTTTAAAAATTTATTTCCAGAATCAATTTCTTTTTTCATGTGAAATAATGTTCTTATTACCTCAAAAACAAAAATTCTAAAAAAGTGACTAGGAATTAGATGCAATTATTCTAAAAAACTCACAAGCTGTTTTAGGTAGAAAACTGCACTGTATAGCATTTCAGGCATTGTGTGGTAGCTTTAAAAAATAAAAATTTTTATATTACTTATTAAAATGACTAATTTGAATAATTGCTTAAATATTTACACATACACATTAGCATTATTATGCTTAGTGGAAAAGTACTCCAAACAAGACTAGCAAGTGGTGGAATTCAAATATTTATAAACTGTATGTGTGTAAAGGGAGGCTGTCTTCTGTTTATCACTGCATTCTGAATACCAGGCACTTTGTTAGGAACTACAAGAATAATACTTAATAATTCTACATTTTCTGATGCTTACACACGTATATTTTTTGCAAGCCTTTTCAACTTTCAGAGGCTGCATTTTCTGGAGAGCAGAGAGGACATAAATGTCTAGAAAGGCATTTTTGGCTGATTATTGTCTTCCTGTTTTATGTGCATGTTACTAAACAAGGAATTCTCAAACTGCTTGTTTTGCAAAAGTGCTTTTTCATGTGTTTGTGCTAGTACTATAAATTTGTTTCATTGTATGCATAAAATGTATTTATTTTAGATCTCAAGCTGATTACCTTTTTATTTAGGAGTCTTTGTCTGAAGTGGAAGAGAAATACAAGAAAGCTATGGTTTCTAATGCACAGCTAGACAATGAGAAGAACAATTTGATATACCAGGTCGATACCCTCAAGGATGTAATTGAAGAACAGGAGGAACAGATGGCAGAATTTTATAGAGAAAATGAAGAAAAATCAAAGGTAAATGCTTTTTCTTACACTGTTTTCTTGGGTCAGAAATAAAAACTTGCCATTTGAAAACTGATGGGGTTAGCCAGGCACAGGTAAGACATGCCTATAGTCCCAGCTACGTGGGAGGCTGAAGCAGGAGGATAGAAGGTTTGAGGCCATTGTTAGTGACTTAGCAAGACTGTATTTCAAACTAAAATTTTAAAAAAGATGTATCTCACCCTCCCTAGATTTAATCCTTAGTTCTTCCATGTTTGTAACTCACTTGGGAATAATGTATCAGTCAAAAGAAAATAGAACACCATATGATATCAAATTTTCGAAATTTACTTTTCTGATCCTTCAGTTCTTAAGTGTGATAATTGGATGTTCATTTCTCATGCATGAGATATGCCTCCCTCAAATCTTGTTACGACATCGGCACATTACGTGAAAAAGAAAAAAAATATTTTCTTACAGAAAATCTTAGGACCGCCTTTAGTATCTTGAAAATGGATCACAACTGGTTTTATCTTTATTTTCCTTTAATTTGGACAATTATAGCAAATTGTTTCTTCCTGTTTAAGTGGCTGGAACTATCACAAAGCTCCAGAGACTCAATAATGTAAATAATGTATTTTTTTTCTTCTATGAACTAAAGAGAACCGACTTAAAGTAAGTTTTTAACCAATTACTTACAAACTGGTATAGGAACATAAGTCAGAAATAGACAGATACTTTCTTTAGAGGTTAAAAGCTAGATTGTTAAAGTGTATAATCAGGCTCTAGAATTTTTAACAAATGCCGAAGACAAATCAGCCCTCTTAAAAGCATATTGGACTCGAATATTAAGTTGCAAGCAAGGGAAAAATGGATATTGTTGCTGTAAATGAATTGTTATTCCATTGCTCATATAAAGAAAATCTAGAAAATAATTTAGGAAATTTTGAACATAATGAGAGAGAAGCAGAGGCCAGAATTATTAGTGTTGTCTCCTCTCCTCTCCTCTCCTCTCCTCTCCTCTCCTCCCCTCCCCTCCCCTCCCCTCCCTGCCTCTCTCCTCCTTTTCCCTCCCTCCTCCCCTCTTCTCCCCTCTTCTCTCCTCTTCTGTTTTGTATCAGGGATTGAACTCAGGACCTTGCACTTGCCAGGCAGGCACTGTGCCTCTAAGCTGTATCCATCTTCTAGAATTTCTTTCTTCAAATACTGGAATTACATTCTTCCAGTTTATTTTAGTTATGTTGAAAAAGGAGTTTCGGGTAGGGAGGTATTGAATAGGCAGAACACAGAGGATTTTTATGACAGTGAAATTATTCTGTATCATACCATAATTGTGGGTACATGTTATTATATATTTGTCCAAACCCATGTAATACTGAACAGAGTGAGTAGACTGTAATATAAACTGAACTTTGAGTGATAGTGACATAATTATTGGTTCAAACAAATGTACCACTCTGCAGTATTTGATAGTAGGGACAGTTGTGTATTTGTGGAGATGGGGATACATAGGAGCTCTATACTTTCCATTCAGTTTAACTGTAACCCTAATACTATTCTTTACAAAAAAGTTAGGAAAGGAGGACATATCCAGTAGGTGAAAAAACAGCCTCTGATATTTTCATATTGGCTCAATAGTGGCTCATTGAAAAGTTTAATTTCTTGGCAATATTAGGTTGTTTCCTGTTTGATTTTCCTTATGTCTTGCAGGCCAGTTTTGAAAATTCTGAGCCATCATGCTTTACCTAGAGTTTCATGTTTCCTCTTTTTTTTTGCCTCACTGTACATTCTTAATATATATTTCTGGTTTTTCTACAGATTAGAAGAAAATCTCATGTTAAGTATTTAATGTTCACAACTAAAGTGAGTCATTGTCTCAGTGTCTCAAATACCCCTGAGCACTTTTAAAAATAAAAGTATCTATGATTATTTTAACCAACTTAGTTTTTCCTATCATTTTCTAATAGCGATATCTTAGTGTGTACAACATTTGAAATTTTTAAAAAGACTTTTCCAGCTTAGAGTCTATAAGCTTTTTTAATACCCTGAAAATCTGCTTTACATACTGTGATGCCTGCTTTGAGATAATCTCTTGTCAACATATTTTCATCCTGAGCTCTCTTACTGCAAACAGATAGCAGTATTGCCTTAGGTAGTATAATGTTTGATGTGTAGATATACAAAGAGGCCGAGCAGTCTGGTGTATTACCTTATAGCAGCAGATGAGGAGAGTGGAGAAGGCCCATTCAACAAAAGCAATGATACTGATAAAAAATTTCAAAACAGAGTATTAGCATTGTTTCTCCTTTCAGTCAGTAGGAATGTTGTTGTAACTGTACCTGTGTGCAGTGTTTAGTGTATCTTCTTAATGGCAGTTTAATAGGGAATTAGCTTATTTGATATTTTAAAATTTTTATTACAGATTTTAAATATTTAAAAAATCATACAGAACAATATAATGAATCTTTATGAATCTACTACCTATTCCCAACTACTGTCAGTCTGTTGTCAGTTTTGCCCTACCCATTTCTCTTGGTCTCATATTGAAGCAAGTTCTAAGCTCCTCATATTTTAATATGAATATTAGTGAACAGTATGGACTCTAAAAAGCATAAGAACATTGTGTACCTAAACAATTAATATTCCTTCATATTACATATTTAGTCACTGTTAATGCTCATCAATTCCAAAGTACCTTAGGTAGTTTTCTTTTTGGAGTAAAAAGAAAAAAAAAAAAAAAATCAGGACCCAAGTAAGTTCCATACCTCGAAATTAGTAGGTAAGGCTTTTCAATTAATGGATTCCCTTTCACCTTTTTTCTCTCCTGCAATTTATGTGTTGAAGAAAGTAGATTGCTTAACACATTCCTAGTCATACATGTCATTCACATAACATCTTTACCATGTTCCCTTTCCCCGTCTAGTGTTTGTAAATACGTCAGTTGTATTTAGCCTTTTTGCCACATCTACTTCATATGGTGGTGCACTTACCTTCCTTTAGGAACCGGCAGGTGTGTGACTTTCTCTTTGTGACGCTGTAGCTGGATACTTAGATCTCACAGTTCATTAGGGAAGGTAGAATAAGGATATTCTGATTTTATTATCACTCATCTATTTACTTGTATTAAACAGCTTTACTAAGATACAGTTCACATAAATACAAGTGCACCCATCACCACACAGTTTTAGAGTACTTTTAATGTCTCACGAAGAAACCACATACCCACTAGCAGTCATCTTCTCATCTCCCTCCTCTCCTGCTCTCAGCTCCAAATAACCACTGATTTACTTGTGTATCTGTTTCCCTATTCTACACTTTCATGTTAATGGAACCATGTGTGTTCTTTTGTGATTGACATCTTCCTTAGCATATTTTCCTGATTTGTCCATCTTGTAGCATATATCAGAAGATCCTTCCTTTTTATGGTCTGTTAGTATTCCATTGCATGTATGTCACATTTTGTTTATCCATTTGTATTGTTGGACATTTGAATTGTTTCTCCTTTCAGCCATTAGGAATGTTTTTACTGTAACTGTACCTGTGTGCAGTGTTTTGTGTGAACATGTTTTCTTCTTTTGTAATTATCTATGTAAGAGTGGAAATTTTGGATCACATTGTAGATCTGTGTGTAACTGTTGAAAATGATTCATATTCTTTTTGATGTTGTCAAACGCTTTTTTAATTGTCCCATTTTTTGCTAATGAGCCTCTTCAGATTGATTACTATATACTATTGATGAATATAGATGTGTTTTGCTTTCTGACAGGAGGTGTTCCCTTCTCATCCTGTACATTTTCTCTCCTGCACCTGAAATCTGCCATTTGCCCGAGGAGCTCTAGTCCTGTTTTCATGGAGCACTGTGGTTGCTAGGGGTGCTTTCTGCTTCTGAGGGTGGTCACTCTTTATATCTGGGAAATAAATACATGGGTGTTTTGTTTTCAGTTACAAAATATTTTATTAGTTTGTCCTTAAGTTTCAGTTTATATTTAGGACTTTAGAGATTTAATTTTTTATACATCTTTGTCTCCTTTTTCTCACTTTATAGTTCCTAGTTCTCAGAGTCACTGGCGATATAGTAGTTATGTTATATTCTTATTCCTTTATTTCATGTGACCCAAAATAGCAGTACCAACATCAACACCAGTATAATTACTGAAAATAGTTACAAGTGTTTGGTTTGGTTTGGCTCTTATTTTTGCCACGAGGCTATATATACCCAAAGTATTATTTTTAAAAAGTTACTTGAAATAGTTTGTTTTCTTACACTTAGTTGTCAGACATACAGGTTATTTCTCTGCATTTTAATTTTTGATACGTAGGAACTGCTTTTTACATGTTAAGTTTTTATGATAAAAAAGCGCAAAATAAAATTATCATTTTAACAGTTTTAAAGGGTGCAGTTTACTATCTGCAGTTGTTAAGTATGTTCATTGTTGTGTGTCAGATTTCCCAAACTGATCTAGCAAGACCAAAACTCTGTACCCATTAAACAGTGCCCATTTCTCATTGTTCTTGGCATTTCTATTTTTCAGTATCTATGAATTTGACTGCTCTAAGTGCTTCTTATAATTAAAATATACAACATTTGTCTTTTTGTACTGACTTATTTTATTTAGCATAATATATTCAAGGCTATCTGTGTTGACAGTGTGTGACAAGAACTCATTTATTTTTAAGGTTGAATAATACTGTGCTATATACATACTACATTTTGTTTATTCATTCATCCTTTTCTGCCTCCATTTACGGAATTTTAAAATTTAATGGTTTGCCTTTTCATTTTTTTAAGTCCAAGAAAATATATGAATTATTTTTAGTCAAAAAGGATGGTACATACAGGGATGACGAACCTTTTACAGCTTTCAATGATAATGAACAGCCCACAGTAGCACGCATGCTATGCATAGATACACACATCATTCAAAATACTGTAACATATGAATTAAGTATATGTATTTGTATCACTTCTTTCTTGAAAAGTGATATAAATATGCTGTTCTGTGTCTTGATTTTATCACTTTCTGATAGTATAGAAGAATCATCCCAATTCTTTTTCACCATGCATGGTTATCCTATTGTGTGGACAGTTTACTTCACCAGCTTCAAATTCATGGACATTCAGGTTGCTTGCAAGATTTTAAGTAATCCAGCAAAATAATATACTGTATTGCATTAAAACTTTATATTTTTTTGCAAAATTACCTTTACCAAATAAAGTGTGATAAGAGTGGGATTCTGGGTTGAAAGGTATGTGGTAATATTGCTAGATTTTCCTATGTAAGCATTTTGGAGTTTTACTAGTATTTTAGTTAGAAATACAGTTTTACTTTGCATTTTTTGTCATATGAGCATCTTTCCATATTTAGAGGTGTTTGTATGTATTTTTCTGTAAATTACCCATTTCTTCAGACATTTTCTATGCAGCTGATTTTTTTTTAATTTTAGAGATTTTTTTGGATATGAAGAAATAGTAACTGTGTACTATATTTTTGGTAGTTTGTCATTATCTTTTTACTTCGCTGGTGTCTTTACCATTCAAGAGTTATAATTTTTATGTAGTTTAATTTATTGACCCTTGCCCTTATTAAGCTTTTAAATTTTTGCATCATTTTTAGCATAGTAGTTTTCCCCTATACTTTGAATCATTTTTATTTTTTTTTTTAACTTTTTATCGGTACCAGGGATCGAACTCACGACTGCCTGCTTGCAAAGCAGGTGCTTATGCTGCTGAGCTAAATCCCCAGCCCCTCGAATCATTTTTATTAAGAGCCTGCATAGTTCTCATTTCCTTTCAGTTCATCTAAGATGAACATTTTATAGTGTAATATTCAGTTCTTGGTTATTGTAAGTTAGCAGTTCAGGGTATTTCTGAATGTTATACTTGGCTTCTTTGTTGTATTACATGTATTCAGATTTGTTATGTGTCATGTCCTTTGTTTTATAACAGGAGTTGGAAAGGCAGAAGCATATGTGTAGTGTGCTACAGCATAAGATGGATGAACTTAAAGAAGGCCTTCGACAAAGAGATGAACTTATTGAGGTATGCATGTGAACTATGGAAATACTTAATTTGAAAAAAGTCACATAGGATGAAGTTGTATATGTGTTGGAAAGAGAAGAACGTTAAAATGTTACAAAGAATTACTTCTGTGTCCATATTTGGTTGTCTTTTAAAATTTTTCAAACATGAACTATAAAGGTAGGCCTATAAACATTTCCTCTTGAACAGCCGAAGCTTTGGTTAAATATCTTTTATTTCTAAGTACACTCTTTATGGACAACAGGAAAAATCACATAGTACCATTATTCTTTGGAACATAGTGAATGCTACTTTTTGGGATGTGATTCTTAAGATATAACAAGTTAAATTTTCCTGAGTTAGATACCTTTCTAAGATAGCTAAATGAGAAAGAAAAGATTGTCAAGAACTATGCCTTATGTACAAAAGATGAAGGTTGGATAGTGTAGAAGTTTAGGTTTTTGCTACATTGTTGGTAATATCCTAAGTGGGATGATGTTAGTCCACCTACACCTTTTTGGTTTGTTTTTTTGGGGACAAAGTATGGCTGTGTAACTCAAGCTGGTCTTCCACTCACTCTGTAGTCCAGGCTGCCCTCACACACTTGAGGCAGTCCTCTCTTGCCTTAGCCTCTTGTCTGACCTTTTGAAAAGTATTTATCGTTTTTGTGGGCCTGCATGTACCTTGGTTTTTAAGTGTGTGTTTTTCCTCCAGACGTTGAAGTCTGAAGAGAATCCTGCCCACTAACTAGGTGTGGTCGTCAAGGACTTCTAACATGAATTAATTTAGTGTTGATGACATGTTAGTGATACTGGGAAGGCCAGCTCTTAATGACCCGAAAGACACAGCTCACCAGACTTGTCCACATTCCTGGCGCTCAGACTCTGGCCTGCCTCTCGTTTTCCTCTTCTTTTTTGCACCTGCAGTACTTAATTGTTTTCATTGTAAATGACCTACCAGAACCACTTAATAAAATGTTTTTTTTTTATTTGTGAATTGGTATGGTTTTTATGACTTTTAAGAAAAAATCATACAGCTAGAATTTATAGGTGTAAATGCAGATGTAGATCACAGTCTGTTGGATTATATGTGATTTCATTGTCCTCATTTTTTCCTGTCTGGTAGGAGACATACCTAAATTCTATAGCCCACTGTCATTTAAAAAATAATGTGAAAAGGATTTTTCTTTCTTGTCCCTTTTTCTGTTTGTGTCAGTATTCCAACCACTTCTTATTTCTTCTCCTAATTAAGATGCATATTTTCTCCCTTTCAAGATTTCAAATAGTAATAAAACTACTTTTGGAACTGCTTCTCAAATTTAGTAGCTTAAATGAGGGTTAACTGTTCCAGTTGTTTGCATATTGTGTTTAAGAGGATTATAATTCTTGGTTTCTATTCTTTATTCCTGTGTCTCCTTTAAAAATTCCAGAGTTAAAGGGTACACCAACTTTAAACACTTTAGTTTTCAGTGTTTTTTATGTTTACAACGGAGATGTTTTAGATATTAATGGCTAGGATTACATAGAAGTGAAATACCATAGTATGACAAATAATTCTTTTTGGTTTAGAATTGAAAATTGCCTGGCAAAACAGGTAATGTATGAATGGGAAAAGCATGCAGTGACAGCTTTTCAGTAGTCCACAGGGAGAAAACTGTTACGAGGCTGTACACTAGCTTCTTTGCCCAGTCAAAAGAGTTCTTTGAGAATCACTAACTGTTAAACTCCAGTGTTTCTAACAAGTTTTTCTTTTGTAATTTAGAATGTTCTTGGAATTATAGATTCTGCCATTATAGACTCTTCTGGAAATACACATTGTTGCATGTTTGCAAAACAAAATAAATAAGTGAATAAATAAATAAAGCACTCTATAAAAGGAAGAGTATACATATGGAGCTGTATGTATACAGAAATCCTGTCTGATTTGCTGCCCCATAGCTGTGGCTGGAAGTTATTTATTCCCAGTCCCTTTGCTTATTTTTGCCTTTTTTTTTCCTGCAGTGCTGGGAATAGAACCCAGGGTTTGCACATGCTAAGTACATCTACCACTGAGGGTCACCCCTAGGGCCTCCCTTGATTATTTTTATGGGGGCAAGCCAGAAAGATTATGTTGCCAAGACTCAAGGAATGTAATCTTTCCGTTTAGCAAACCACTCTTTCTTTTTTCTGTTCATCACAGACTTTCATTCCATTTTTTTTTAGGTTTCCAATTTTTATTCTTTTTTTAACTCTCTCCTTTTTTATTTCTGTTCTTCTGTTACTTTTCTTACCCCTTTCTCTGCAGGAAAATCAGCGCATGCAGCAGAAAATAGACAACATGACAAAAGAGGTGTTTGACTTCCAGGAGACACTTCTTTGGAAAGATAAAAAAATTGGGGTATGAGTTGAAGTTGGGTTTTCATTAGCAACTCATCTACAAGGAATAGACCAATAGAATTTACCTTAGAGATTCTTAAGAATCTGTCCTTTTGAGTCGTCTTGTGCATTTATACAGTGTGAAATATGAGTAAGTAAAAGACAGGGACTTCCTTGGGAAAACTTGATATACTATGCTTGGAAAGAACTCTTTCCAGCAAACTCAGCTTGTAAAACCTAGAAGTAAGAACTTTCAAAGGAAGTTGTTCTTTATGATTGCAGGATTCCTATCCAAAAGCAAGCACAAACATTTAATTCAAACTCTTCTGTGTAGTTTGGTAGTCTTATATTACAAGAATTTGGATAAGAACCAAGAAGATAGGGAGTGGAGATGGGGGGAAAATTATTAGCATCCTATAACCCTTGGTGAACAAAATAGAGATTAAAACTAGTTTAATTATAGAAGTGGATAGGAATGTAAGACTTGGCTGAGTTGCCAAACTGTGACGCTAACTCTAATTATAAACTCCAAACTCCCCAAAGCAGGGGCCCAGATAAGGGGATATTCCTCTTTGCTGTTGTTGGGCTTAGCCCTGTAGATAGAGTCCAAGTATCCTGGAGACTGAAAAAATTCCTTATCTCATGTGACCTCTGATTCCTAATCCCATCTCTGGAGCTCAGAAACCATTCATACTATGTGTATCTGCCAAAGGCTTACCTTATCAGGAAGAGTTGTGATGGAGGAAGGAAAAAGAACAAATAAGAAAAGTCTTGTTTTACGTGAGGTTAGGTGGAGTAGAAAAAAGTTGGTAAAAATCACCAAGAGTACCAGTAAGAGACATTCCCAAAAGTTAGTGTTCTAGATTGTAACTCCCACTGTTAGGGATGCTCTGAAGCCTGCCCACTGGTCAGCAGTATCCATTTCTTTTTATTACTTTACCATATCTTCTCATTAATAAACATGGGAAAACCACATTACTTTTTGAGTCTGTAGACCAAAAATTTAAAGAACTAAGTCTACTTTTACATTATTTAAATTACTGAGTTTCTAAAACTCTACCCATACCTAGTAAAGCTTTCTGGGGGATAAATAACACTATTTTGAAATTGTAATTGTGAACTGCTAATTTTGTTTAAAGTTTTAGTTGTAAAGTTTAAAATGAGGCATGAAAAATATGTTGTACAAAGTAGACAGTTTATGCAGTTAAAATCTAGTCATTATCCCGAATGGGCTTCTTTTAGGACCTTACACAATTGTCTTTAGCACAGATCTGCAGATCCAAAGTGTCTAATTCATATAGTTGTCTTAATATTTCAAACTGATTTTGTTCAAGGCTGTAGTAAAACCTTCAACTCTCAGTTTTATGAAATAGCTCTTCAAAGCAACAGTTTTATTTTATTTTTGCTACTAAAAAGACATGCTTTTAAGACAGATTACTCAGCTCCTAAATTGCCTTGTCATTTTTAAATAAATAGAGTCCTTCATTCTGAAGCTATACCATAATGTGTTCCAAGCTTTGACTTTTTAAAATTAAAATTTTTTTGGAGAAAATTTTAGATTTATATACGTACAGGTACATATATGAAATGCAGAGAGATGATGTATACTCTTTACTGTTTATCCCAAATGTAACATATTTCAAAACTGTAGTACAATATCACAACCAGGATATTTTCATAAGACAAGATAGAAAACTTTCCATCACCTCTGTTATAGTCATATCTACTGTACTTGCCCCTCCCCCAGCCCTGGGAACTAATCTCTTCTCTATTTCTATAATTTTGCCATTTTCAGAATGTTATAATAGATCACATCCTACATAATGTTCTGGATTTACCTTTTTCACATAGCATATGTCCCTCAAGATTTATGTAAGATGTGTAACACCAGTTCATTTCCCCTTTTTATTTTTAATTTGAAAAATTGTGTTAAAATACAGTTCAGTGGCATTAAGTATGTTCACATTGCTTGCTGGTATCGTGACTGTCCATCTCCAGAACACTTTCATCTCTCTAAGCTAATACTCTGTACTCCTTGTAAACAACTGCCTCCCAACTGCCTCCCACCTTCCCCTAGCTGTCACATTTCTGTTTGTTTATATGAGTTTGGTTACTCAGTATCTCATGAGTAGAATCATGTAATGTTCAATTTTATATTTGTGACTCTCTTACTGTACTTAGCACATGACCCTTCAGGTTTGTGATGGTTGCGGCATGTATCAGAATATCCTTACTTTTCAAGACTGAATAATATCCCATTGTGTCTGTATACCATATGTCTCTATTGATGAGCACTTAGGATGTTCCTGCCTTTTTTGGCTGTTGTGAATACAGCTGCTGTGAACATGTGTTTATCATTACTTGGATATGTCTGGATAGCCAGTACAAATTCATTCCCGTTCCAACTATATTTGTTCCCTATGCAATTATATAGTGATTGAACCTGTTGCCCAGAAGTTTAGCTTTTAAATTTGAGGTTTGGTCAAGAATAAAAAGTTGTTTAGATCTCCATAAACATGTACTTTTCACTTTAAAAAAGAAAAGCCTAAGAACTATTGTTGTATGCAAACACAAGGGTAGTGATTATATGGTCAGGTAATGCAGCTTTCATATCCAGTGTGAATACGTTTGATCCAATTATAAGTTATTTCAGTAGTTTTCAAACTTTGTGGTGAAATGGGCAACTATACAGAGTATATTTTATTTTCCTGTATAATTAGGGGACATGAAATTAAAAAAGTCTAAATATAAAAATAAAACCCAGTGCTACAGACATGGAAAGAGGGAGCAAAGGGCTTGCACTAGTATTTGCTAGAACTTCTAGTTTCAAATTGGTCTTTTCCTAAGGAGTCTTTTATATTCCATGATACTGTTTATATAAAGCATGTTGTGGCAGTGGTTATTTTGCTCAGTTACCTGTGGTGATGCTTTATATAACTATGCATGTAGATACTAATAAATAAAAATACGTAAACAGCAGAAAGTAAAGTAACTGTCAACAGGAAAGTATTGTGCTTCATTCTCATGTTTCCTTTGTTGTTAATACAGTGGAGTGTTAATACTAACTTGATACCTTAAATACTATATGTTGCTAGAAACTTAAAATATCACTTCAGCAGGCAGCCTTCAGACATATATAGTTTGAATACAAATTTTGGAAAGTTAGATGTTGACATTGTAGTTTGGATAAAGAACATAATACAGCCTAACGGGACTATGATTAAAAAAAACTGCATGCAAGTGGTTTGGAACTAAAAATAATTTCAAAACTATTTTCTGGCCCGAGCTTATGTGCAAAAAAAAAAAAAAAACAAAAACAAAAACACATCTCAGCCTTAATTTTCTGATCAGCAAAATGAGGATGGGACAAGTAGTTTAATAACAAGGCTATCACAAAGGATTAGAATAATTTTAAAAATTTGCCCAACTATTCTGCCATCAATAAGTAAATAGTTGACCTACTTCTCACAGTAAACCGAGCAGTTACCTGTTGTAATTTAGCTTCTCCAGTTAATAAGAATGCTGATAGAAAACACTAATAAAAGAAAAATTGTAGCAATTGGCTTTTTTGAAACAGCCCAGCTATCCAGTTTCTACATGGACTATGTGACTTGGTAATGCCTTTTAAAATCTGGGTTATTTTATTATACAGTTAAGTAGACTTGCTATGTCACTGATGACCAAATAGAGCCCTGCTTCTGCATTGCTTTCTAAGCTATGACAGTTTCGAGATTCAGGATAAGATGAGGAATTGCCAGTACAAACGCGTGTTCCCTGAGGTGTCTCCTGTAGTCATAAACACTCTAGGCAGTGCACTATGCTAAGATCTCTTTTCAGCTTCCATTTATGAGATGGCTGCTTCTGTTATTCTTTTTTTGTGATGAGGAAATTGAGACATACGTAAATTAAGCATGTGCCAGGATCCAAGAACTTGATTCTGAAATCTGTAATCTACCACAGGTGGGATCTATTTTGTTCAGTGTTTTGTTTTTGTTTTTCACATTTTGAAAGTGCTTTAGAAGACCAAGTGAGTCTTAGTTGAATCCTGTTGGAGATTAGCTGTCTTTGGATTAAGTGGTATTAAATACTTTGCCACATTGCTTGGAGAATAGCCATACAACCAATATTAAAATAGCACATTATACTAAATATTTTCCCAGAGCCATTTTTTCTATTTAAAAATGTCAAGTACATTTTTGAATAAACTATTTTAGTTAAATGAAGTCAATTTTTCAGTTCTACAAATGAAAATAATACGCAGGAGTTCAGTGAGGAAATTTGAACTCTGTTGTCTTCATTTTCTTTTTCCTGTTTTCTTCATTGACTGGAAAAAGATTTGTCTTCCTGGTTGATGTGATAAGCATGTATTGCCAAATTCATGCATGAGAACCAGTTTCTACTAAAACCCTTCTCTGGAGATGTGTGATCTGTATGCAAATAGCTGTGTTTTCTTCCCAGTTGTTTGCTTCTAAACTTTTAACTGCTTCCTTGCTTTTTATGCTTTTATCTTTGCTTATTTGAATTAGTTACCTTTCACTTGCTCTTTTTTTCTATGCCATTCTTTCCCTTGCTACCCTGCCTAATAATACTAGGCACTAGAGAAACAGAAAGAATACATTGCCTGCCTTAGGAATGAGCGAGATATGCTCAGAGAGGAACTGGCTGATCTGCAGGAAACAGTGAAGACAGGAGAGGTATGTTAGCAGAGCCTGGAGCTCAGATCCTTCCTCCCTTCCATCCTGTCATCTTTCTTATCTTGAATACAATTTTGGTATGGTACAATAAGTTATTTCCTTCCCAAAGGTATTTTCTACATAATTATTTCTAATTAGGTTTTACCTGTGGCAAACACATTGTTGCAGAGTTTCTTCACAGAGCTTCCTGATTCCATGTGGGCTGTCTGTTTTTTTTCCCTTCCACACAGAAACATGGCTTAGTTATAATCCCTGATGGCACTCCCAATGGTGATGTCAATCATGAACCAGTGGTTGGAGCCATTACTGTTGTGTCCCAGGAAGCTGCTCAAGTCTTGGAGTCAGCAGGAGAAGGGCCATTAGGTAAGACACTAGTTACATTTTGTCTTGGATTAATGTTATTGGGCTTCTAGCTTGTTTATATCCCAGCTCAGAAAACAAAAACAGCATATTAAAGGTCATCTGAGTCTGCATCTTCAAGAAGTATCTGGACACGCTGTCATCAGACATCCTTCATCTCGCCAGGGTATGAGTCATTAGAAGATAGCAAATATAGCTATAAGGTCCCTGACTGGAAGCACTATGAGCCTTTTACATACTACTATTAACTTAATATAAACTTACTGCAGAGAGAGTTTAGCATGCTCATCCTAGGGATGTTCTGGGCTGGCAAGAGACTTTCCAAGTAGGTTTATAGGTGGTTCTCCCTGAATATCTGGTTTTGTTTCACTATTCCAGGATTTAGTAACTCTTTGCTACTACATTTCTTAAGGCAGGAAATAGATAATCAGAATACGTATTAGAGGAGTGTAACTCTTAAATAAGGGCTTCTTTAAATGTTAACCTCTGCTAATCTAATTCTTGGGAGGAAACCACTGAGGTCCCCATCCATTGTTACAATGAAAAATCCTGCAGTATTACTGAAAGTGAAAAGTAGCAGATAGATAATATATCATCAGCTCACTTTTACGATTAGGAAACAAATTTTTTTCATTTGCTGTTTTATTTTTATGTATGTGAGAGATATTGTAGCAGTGGCAGAAGATGAAATGTTTTAAAAGCATATTTACTGATCTGCAGAATTCTAGAAATGTAATTAATTATAAAGCACTTTGATAAAACAGAAGTTGCAGGGTGAGTGAAAAGGCAGATCTAGAGAAGCAATGAGTAGAAGGCTATAGGCAGTTCAGGGTGTTTCCTTTTGCCTGATTGGAAAATGCTGAAGAAATCAAAATTTACATTTGGCTGTAACTTTTATTAATTGTGGGTGGTGGTGGACCAGATGTCAGCTGCTTTTTTTTTTTTTTTAACTGAACTAGAGGTATTTCCTTATCCCATAGTCATATTTTAATGCCTACTTGGGATTAAGCAGTTTTCTCTACAGGCCTAGAGAAAGCCTTAGCTATCTGCTGCCCAGCCCCAGATTGCCGAGGTTGTTGGTTGTCCTCTGAGATGATTCCCTTCTCTCTACCCACTAGTTTTTGTGGAAGTTGCTTCTTTTGGCATTGTGTTCCTTTGTTTTCTTTGCTCTAACTTGCCCTCATCTGTCCTTTTTATTCCCTGTCTTCCTCCTTGCTTGTTTTGAACTCTCCTGCTGAAGGTGTAAGGCTCTGCAAATACTGTTGGCTTTTGAGTTGTCCATCTCCTGGTGAAAGCTTCCAATTGTTTTAAAGGAGAAAACAGCCTCTTTTGTACTTCAGTTTATCTCTTTGTGGAAAAATTCCTATTTTTGGAGCAAATATATTTGGTGCCCTGATAAATATTGGTTATGTAGAATGTACATTTGGGATAATTAAATACTCTTCTAATTAGTACTACTAGGCTTTATTGTCAGAGCTATAAGTATTTTATGAGACATTAGCTACTTATGATTTTGGGGAATTATCTTTAATTGTTTATATTCTGCCGCATTACAAATTAAGTTTGCAACCCTTTTTTTGGTAGATGTACGGCTACGAAAACTTGCTGGAGAAAAGGAAGAGCTACTATCTCAGGTAAAGATATTCTTTCCATTGAAAAGTATTACTTATTTTGCCAGACTCAATTAATGTTAAATGTTACTAAATTAAAATACTCATTACAAATTGGAAATGTATTTATTTCAAACCTTAACACTCCATTAGATTAAAAGGGTCAAAAAGATATTTTATTTTACTTTTTAAAGTTCATATTTTGTTTCTTTTTAAAAATTTTTTTATAGAAAACAAACTTTATTGAGACATTTAGTTCTATAAACTTGTAAAGAGAGCAGTGTGTCACCTTTCTTCAACCCTGACCATTCCTTTCAGTTCTTTTAGCAGCCTTGGTGTGTTCTGTCAATGTGAAACATGCTTGTGCTGCTTCTTGATTGTTGGATTTTAGGTGTTTCCGGTTGACAGTCCTCTGTAGAAGATGAGGACACACCTGCCTTTCATCCTCTGTTGCTGCCACTCCCATAGACTCCTAGTGAAGGAACAGTGTGAGCTCAGTGTGTCTGTCTTCCAGACTCTGTAAACACTAGTCCCAGGGGAGCCATGGTATAGTCTAGGATCACCTTTCATCTCCTTTACAACTGTTCATTTTCTGTAAGGTTAATATTGTGGATTTTCTTGTTTTATTTGCCTGATTTTAGTTTTTAATCAATAACTTAGCCACCCAATTCTGTTTTGTGTTGTTTTTTAAGACAGTCTTACTAGTTTAGGCTGGCCTTGAACTCAGCTGTGTAGCCCAGGCTGGCCTCACACTCTTGGCAATTCTCCTACCTAAGCCTCCCAATTGTGGGATTTTAGGGATATGCCATGACACTCAGTATCCACACAAATATAAACCCATTACTAGTGTTTTTGGATGTGTCAGTTTTACTCTTTAATTCCATCTGATGAGTTGTATAGTATCTGACTCTACCCATTTTTAATTCACTGCTTCCATAGAGAGATGTGATAACCTTTAGGCATATGAAAATGTTTCTTTGTGACAGGGTTATGCTCCCTTTTCTTAGTCTTCTGTGCCTTCCTCCTTTATCTGTGCTTTTAAAAGAACAATTAACCCAACAAAATAAAACAGAACAAAGCCAACCATAACAAAACAGTGAAAGTAACACAGAACCTCAAAACAGAATTAGGAAATCAACAGTGACTACCATACCATCAGACACAGTAAAATCAAATAACACTAAACAGAGTAATACCAGTCAAAACACAACACTGAATAAAACAAAACAATAAATCAGAACAAAACAAAACAGAACAATATTAGATTTCAAACACAAGACAAGGAAATCCCTCAGTTACTATATTGCATATTATTATTTTCTTAATAGATGCTTAGAGTACTGGCCTTAGGCCTGCAAAGTCAGTCAAATAATACAAGCATTTCGTTGTTTTTGTACTTTAGTTGCTGTCAACTCAGCTTGTCCTTCCAACCAGCCAGTTTCTTATGGGGGGTGCAGTATGGATGGGGAGTGGGGAGCTACTTGATTCTCAGCCTGCACGCAGGTCAGCTCATTGGAAGCAAAAACTGGCTTCTCTCTTCCTGGCCCCTGCATGGGAAGAGTAAATTGGCTTCTTGTTGTATGCCTCCCAGACCATATCTTCTTTAATTTTCTGAGGAAAAGGATATGGGCCACTAATTTTTCATGATCTTGCATCCCTGAAAGTGTCTTTATTTTATCCTCTTGTGCGGTTGATAGTTTGGAAGGGTATTTAATTCTGGATTGCAATGACTGTCTTTCAGATTAAAAAAAAACTCTTCATTCTCTATCTTCCATTGTGGTCATCGAGGATTTGGGGGTCAGTTTTGATCTTTGTATGTGACAGTGTCCCCTTTGTATGTAAGCTAGTATCCTATTTTCTTTCTTTCTACTGTTTTGAAATTCACAGCGATGTATTTTGAAGTTTTTGTGCATGTTACTGTGCTTGTCAATTTTAGGAACTGCTTTTCTTTTGTTCTGGGAAAATTCCTTGAATGATATTATTTTCTTCCTTACTGTTATTTAATCATCAGCAAATGTTAAATGAAATTCCATGATTTATCAGCTACTATTCTAGGCACTTGGGATATTTAAGTAAATAGTCAAAAAAAATTCTGCCTCAGTGGACCTTACAGTCTAGTGTAAAAGAGGTAGAGAAACAAACATAATTAAGAAGTGATACCATAATTATATGATATGTTAAAATATTTATGCTTATGGACTCAACGTATCTGTGTCTCTGGTTATGTTCAGCCTTATAAAAGTGGGCAAGGGATGATTAGAGAGATTTTACCATCATGTGTAATGGGACAAGAGAGGTAAGGGAATGTATGAGAGTGGTGATAATGAACCTAGAAATTAAAGTGGATAAAGATGGATGAGAGGACATATTGAAAAATACACCAAGACACAGTGGGAAGAAGATGGAATCAATGAATTAGAAGTACAGTTCCTGTGAAGTTGAAGAATGTTAAGAGTCTAGAAAGAGTCGTCTAGAAAGATGAATTGTGGTTAGATAGAAGATACATGGACTAAGTTGTACAGGGACTGTGGCTATCTAATATCTAGTACATAGCTTGGTGTAAGTGGCTGAGGGCAAGAAGAGGTAGATGATAAGATCCTCAGAGGGGAAGCCTTTTAGAAACTCAGACTTGAGTTAAAAGACAGAAAGGGAGCCTGTACTTAACCAAGAATTAAGACAGTATTCTTGAGGGACTAGGAGTCCCGAAGTTCAACGATGATGGAGTGGGTTGATAGCAATGATAAGTGGTAATGTGTAAAACTTGAAGAGGTGGGATTAAGAACTGGGGCTTCTGGATGGAGCTTTTTCCTTGCTTCATCAATAGCAAGGAAAGCAAGAGGACATCTGTTCCATACCCAGGGTCAGTGGTAGGAGGCTGTGGAATCTAAAAACAGCCAGTGTTGGGGAGACTACCGAGGAGCATAGCATAGCATGTTTCTATTAGAGCACTGAGAAGAACCTGAGGAAGGAGAGGCTTTGCTAGTGATGGACTGATATCTCTAGTGGGTTCACTGAAAGAGTTTCAGGCATGAGGAAAGGTTTGTAAATAAAGGGTATGGGTTGTACAGAGCCTTGTGCTACCAGTGCAGGAAAGGGCGACACTTTTTGAAATGGACATAATAGCAGTGTTTGGGATAAAGTTTGATTCCCTTGATGGTGTTAAGCTTGTGTATGTCAACAGGGTAGAGAGGTCTCTGGAAAGGATGGGTTTAATCCCAGTGCCAGGCTTCGTTGTGAGACTCCTGTTGCTGGTATTGAGGGCAGTTGTGGAGGCCACTTGTATATTTTCAACTATTTTTGTGTACATAAAGTTTTCTAAACAAGAATATAAGAATATTTAACTTACCCGCCAACAAAAAGTATAACTTTATGGATATTTCCATTTTTAGTAAAACTAACAAAATACCCCTGCTGTTCCATAAACTGCACAAACAACAGAATACAGTGTTTATTTGGTTTGTTTCTGTTTTCAGGCAGTCTCTGAGAGTAGTCCAGGCCAGCCTTGAACTTTCTGTGTAGCTATGACTGGCCTTAAACTTGTGTTAACTCCCAAATGCTGGAATTACAGACATGGATAAATTAGATCTGTTTTTTTATTAGGACAACTGATCCTCAGGTGCAATCATTTTTGCATTTGTTTAGAGCTAAAAGAGATCTTTAGTACTTAGAACCTTGTATCTCATATTAGGTACCTAAGAAAATATTTTTTGGGGGCTGGGGATTAAGCTCAGCGGTATAAGCTCCTACCTTGCAAGCAGGCAGTCGTGAGTTCCATCCCTGGTACCAAAAAAGACAAGAAAATTTTTTGGGGGGCCGGGGATTTAGTTCAGCGACATAAGCGCCTGCCTGGCAAGCACCAGGTCATGTGTTCAATCCCCGGTACCGCGCAAAAAAAAAAAAAAAAAAAAAAAAAATTTTTTTTGAGTGATTTGTATGGCTCACATAAGGATCTGCTTTGTTCCCTGCTGTGGCTACTGGGCCACACATCTTCATTTGAGAGTGGCTCTTGGTGGTGACTATTATTTCCATTTCAGATTAGAAAGCTGAAGCTGCAGCTAGAGGAAGAACGTCAAAAGTGCTCCAGGGATGATGGCACAGCAGGTGACCTGGCAGGGCTGCAGAACGGCTCAGACTTGCAGTTCATCGAGATGCAGAGTAAGTATTAGGGACAGGCCAGGCTGTGTCTGTGTACCGAGAGTGAGGTCATAGGAAGGCTGCCACAGTGGCTTGTACCAAAAATGGAAACATCAATGAAGTTACACTTTTTGTTTAGTTAAATATTTTTTAGAAAATTTTCTGTATACAAAAATAATTGGAAATATACAAGTGATTTTCCCAGCTGCTCCTCAATACCCACAATAGGGAAAACCTGTGGCATTAATAACACTGTGTTAAAAAGACTGGCTAGGCTTCAGCTCTCCTCACTTGTGGTTTCAGCACTAAGTTACTGCTTCTGTCCTTTCTAGGCAAAGGGATTTCTAGGGATTTCTAGGGACTTTCTGCAAATGGTGAAATGCTTTTGCCCTAACAATGTCCTTTTGCACATTCATGTGCCATCTCCAAGCTGCCATGCAGCCACTTTTCCCATGAGCATTTGTGGAATTTATCTTGGATAATTGGAGACTTGAGACTCATGAACATTGAGTAATTTCAGAATTTTCCTAGAAGTACTGTTCTTAATCTAGATTAATCTTAAGATGGAATTTAAAACAAGGTTATAATATAAAGTTGAGTATACTCAAGCTTCCCCAGATTATTCCAGTTTTCTCTCCTTGTATTTTGGACCTATTTATTTTAGGTATTGTATTCAGACTAAATCCTCTACTTGAGATACTTCAGCAGCCATCCATGTATAGTTGGCCTTTGTTAGTGATCATGTATAAGGTATGGGTAGTCTTCCCGACTTATTTTTCTGATTTAATGGTGGCTTCTCTGACAGCAGATTTTTAAAGTGTTGACTGTTTGATGGCCTTTTCATCTAATTTGAGTTAATGCTGAGTAGAAAAAGATGTTTTGGATTAGGCTTAGTCATACTAGCTTTAAGGTTAGTGTTACTTCCTGTTTTGGAAATCAGCTAGGAAGGACCCTCACAGTATTCTCAAGGACTATCTTGGCCTAGAATCATTTCTATATGGTGGGTGGATAAAGAAAGACAAGCTCATTACTGGAGGTGCAGTAGCTAGTTAGGAAGCTATGATGTGAGCCTGAACTAGTACAATGATTGTTTTCAGAGTTCTAGAGGGCAGGATACAAGTTAAACAGATTGGCCTAGAGCAGCAGATTAAAAAAGGGAAATCAAACAGTAGTTGGCTGGCATTTATTTGCGAATGCTTCCTAGAGCCATCTAACTGTTGTAGAGATGGTTTTTGAAGAAGGAAAAAGTATCCAGCACAGAGGTATGGAATGAGTGATCTGAGCAGGACTTGGGAAGGCTGAACCTGGATGGTGAAGAGAAAATCACAGGAGGCTAGG